AGAGAACAGCACGGGCCAAGGTGTGGAGGTGCTTACAGGGAATTCTGAGGACAGCCTTCTGGTTAGAGCAGAGGGTGTTTTTTAAGAAGTACTGAAATTATGTTCACATAACTTAGAATCATATTGAGAAGGGCTTTGAAAGCCAGATATAGAGTTTGTACTTGAGGTAGTAACCAGTCAGGACCTGTGGGAAGGTTTTGAGAAGGAACATTGGATCATGGAGATTTTTTGTAGGAAAATGAATCGAGTTGGGGTGATGCTGTTGTACTGGACGGAGGAGAAGAAGACCGAAGAATCAAGTAGGATCTGCTGCTTAAGAATTGCAGTATAAGGATGACAAGGAAAATGGAACCATTTGGAGGAAAGCAAAGCAGACACTGGAGGGGAGCATGGAAGACGAAGCAGGGAGAGCAGTTTGGAGATGGCAGCCAGGAACGGCATGCTGTTGCAAGCAGGAAGAGAAGAGCTGACGGGGGGTCGGAGTGGGTACCCGTGGGGCTGAAGATTTGAAGTTCCAGCAAAACCTGCAAGTGTCATGCAGTCTGTTGGAAGCAAACTGGAGCAAAGGTGGAAAGTTAAGGTTGGTGATGCTGATCAGGCCGTTGTTTGCATAAGGGGAATGGTTGGACCCCTGAAATTTTAATAGGTTTGTTGAGGGATTAAGTGTGGGCAGAAAAATAAAGATCCCGGGAGATTTGGGACACAGAAGTTTATAGAATTCAAGGGAAGAAGGAACAGCAAGAGACTTCTTCATGCTTCCTCATCTCAATAAATGGCACCACTATTCACAGCTACTCAGGCCCCAGCCTAGGAGGCATCCTGAATTCCTCTCCTTCTTTCACACCCGGCACTCACCCTGTCAGCCAGTCCTGCCCAGTCAACCTTTGAACGTACACCCTGTGTTTCCTCCTCCACAGCCTCCACCCTGGCGAATTCACCAACATCTCTCGTCAGGGCTACAGCAATAGCCCTGTAAAGGATCTCACTGCTTCTGTTGGCATCCACAGTCGAAAAATCTGTTTCATCCAAAAGATAGGTCATGCCATTCTCCTACTGAGAACCCTCCGATGGCTTCTGCTCACACTTCGACCAGAATTCAGCGTCCTTGCTGTGCTGTCCAAGGCCCCAGATGACCTGGCCTTGACCTCTTTTGAGTTCTCATCCCCTACCACTCATCCCTTCTTTCTCTTCACCGTGGCCACCCTGGCCTTCCTTGGCCTCCAACACCCCGAGCTTATTTTTGCTTTCCTGACTTTTCCTTCGATGTTTGTAATTCCTGGATTCCCCTCCCCCAGCCCCCAGCGACATGCATGTCCGGTCAGGACTTTCTGTGATTCTGTGAGTAAACTGAGTGTCGGTTACTGTCGTCGATACTGGAGATACCACGAGAAGATCATAGACGATGCTCCCTGTCCTCCTGGTGCTTCCATTCTAGTCGGGGAGCCAGACCCCAGACAAGACTAATAAGTAAACTGTGTTGCAGGATAGATGGTGGCAAGTGCTCAGGTGGAAAGGAAAGCAGAGGAAAGGGGGAGGAAGCGTGGTGAGGGTAAGTGAGTACAGTTCTGTTTAGAGTTGGCATGAAAGGCCCAAGTGAAGGATGTGTGAAGAAAAACTAGAAAAAAGTTGGAAGAACAAGTAGATCAACAGCAAACAAACCTAACCTTGGGAGAGGAGGGCACCTGGCGTGGTTGTGGAGAAGTGGGTAGAGAGGAGACGTGGAGGGGTGGGAACAGCGAGGCCCAGACAGGCAGCTGGGCTCGGTGCGGGGATTTAGGCTGTTCTTGGTCTCTTACCTGTGTCACTTATCTTCACAGAACTGAACGTCACCTGACATCATATCACATATCCGTCTTTTTATTTACTTAACATCTATTTTTCCCTCACCAGAAAATAAGCTCCATAAAGGCGGGACTTTGCGTTCTTTATCAGAACAGCGTCTAACCCATACTGGGAACTCAATTTTAGGGAATAAATTTATGGATGAGAGAGGGGAGCCTAGAACATAACATTCACTGTGGAAGAGTGAAAACAGAAAGGCCCTTTGAGTTTGGCAGGAAGGCGTTACTGGTCTGGTAGCCTTTTTGGGTCCTTGATAATAATAAAGGTGGAGATAGAGAGGCAAAGAAACAGAAGGAAAGAAAGCAGGTAAAGTGATACCAACCAGTTCTTAACGCATCCCTAACAACAGCTGAATTAGAGAAGTGCTACGCGGCTGACTTTGGTATGTTCTTTCCCCCTCTCTCTAACTTATTTATGATTTATTTATCCTCTTAAATAGATACTTCACAAAATTGAGCTTGTGGATATTATGCTGATCCATTGCAGCCCTTGGAGAACTGACAGATCCCACTCTGCTCATTGTTAACATAATTTTAATTAAGGTATCTAAAACCGCATGTTAAAACTTGACTATAATCTCATTTACTGTGTGGGAGGTGTTATCTATTTCATGACTGAGGTAAAATCTTAGGAAAGAGATATCCCCAAACTGCAGAGTATGAAACACAGTTAAGCCTAAGAGACTGAAGAACACTTCTGTAATGAAATGAAGTAATGTATATGAAAGAGCGTTGTGAGCAGTATCAAAATATACAAATAGTGTCATCGAAAAGACAGCTGTATGTCTTGTCGTCTCAGCTTGAAGAAATTCAGACCTTCAAAGCCGCAAGTATATTGTGATAGAAAAGAGCATCCTATGAACTCAGATATTTACAGTGTTACTTAAAAGGGAATACTGTAGCTGTGAATTGCTTATCCAAAATCTTTTAAACATCTGTATGCCAAAGAATAAAGAAAATACAGGAAAGGAAAAGAAATAATCTCTCCTGCAATAGAGATGGGAAAGCTTCGTGTAAGTACCATTTTTGGAGTGAGAGGTCACATCTGACCCTCATGGAAACAGCCTCTATAAGGCCTGGCTCAAAGCAGGGAACTAAACGATAAAATGCAAAAACAGTTAATTTCACGAGGCTGTGCTAATAACACCACCAACAAAAGTTCCCTACTGAGAGTGCTGTCATTTTGGTTAATCTTGGATGCTTCCATCTTGTCTGATTTTTATCACAAGGAAGAGTTACCAAAGAAAAGGAACACATTCTGAGCTGGATCATCATGGATTACAACAAAATGGTTGTAACTAAAGGCATTAAATAGCTCCTCTTGTCAGCTTATCTTGTGGTTGCTGTTAACTGTTGGGGGAAATAGTCTATGCTGCTTATAAACTGGTCAAAAAATATTTAGTTCGAAGTTAGAGGCACTTAAAAAGGCATGTGGATTTCCTGTATGTATCAGCATATTAGAAGAAAACTGTAAGTTTTATGATATATCAGAGAGAAATAAGATGTACATTGTAAGGTCATTTTGCAAAATGAACTTTAAAAAATACATGGTCTTTATTTACTTCTGGGGCAGGAATTTATTTATAGTATAAGTACAAAACTGTTCTGAAATGAACAAAGCAGCTTAGCATCAGGTTTTGTTTTGTTTTTTTTTTGAGATTTTTATTTATTTATTTGAGAGCGAGAGTGTGTGTGTGCGCACAAGAGCGGGGTGAGGGGCAGAGGGAAGCAGGCTTCCTGCTGAGCAGGGAGCTCATCGCGGGGCTCGATCCCAGGACCCTGGGACCATGACCTGAGCCGAAGGCAGACGCTTAACGACTGAGCCACCCAGGCGCCCCAGCATCAGTTTTATTTCCGCCTACCTAACAAGACTTTCCTTGTTACGGCTTTGAGTGAAACAGAAGCAGCAGTGATGGACAGCCATACAGGTCTTTTGTTGCTAGGCTACATGTGTGCCCATTTAACCTGCTTCCTGATGGAGCACAGTTTCTAGAATGCCATGTAAAATATATGCCTGTGTTTCCTGGGAGGGGAGAAAAGGAGAGGTGTTCGTCTCTCCCTCCCACGTTTGTTAAGCAGGGCACAGTGGGCTTGAAAGGCGAAGGGTACAGACCCAGTGGGCAAGCTTCAGAGAACCCACAGCTCCGCGCCTTCCCCCAGGTCGTACAAGTGGGGAACACGGTTGTATCTCAGTGCGTGTTGAAGGGTCTTCAGGTCAGGTCAGGTCTTACCCCTGCCTTCTCCATTTCTGTTTTTTACTGCCTGTTCCCCCACCTTCTCACAGATTTACAAAATACACGAAGGGAACATTCTAGGTCCATTTTCCTAATCTAAAGAAATACATTTCCAAAATGTAAGTTGGTTTTGTGTGGGCCTTGCAAAATGGGTCTTCAGGCCTCCCAAAGCTGTGGTAGACATGGCTTCTGATGGCACACTCTCCCCACCCCCCAGCTCTTCCAACCCCCACTTCCGCCCACCCACCCCAGACATCACACACACACACAGACACACACACACACTCACTCTCAGGGGCCACCAGCCCTCTTGGCTCCTGCATTCAACACATTAAGGCTCTGTAACCCCTTTTATGCAGATCTCCTGCGATTTTATCAAAAGACAAGGTGTCCCAACCTTGTCCCCTGGTTGGCCCAGGTACACTCCCCATCCCTACCCTTGTCTTCTTCCCCATCATGCTGTGGGGCCTCAGGCCCCAGGCCCCAACCTCCCCAAGGTTTTCATTGCACTGATGTTGAGCTCATGCTCCATGTCTGCTCTGTATCGACCACCGGTGTGATAAGCCTCCTCAAAACAGCACAGGTTCCATGGTTGCTCCTGGTGAATCAAATACCTGGCTCATTTGTTGGAGTCATTGTTACATCCACATAAGATATGGATTTTTAAAAATACCTCTACAAATATCGATAGAAGTATAAAAATCCTGATAAATGGTAAAAGTAAATATGACAATTATGACGTAACCTTCCTTGAGACGCACATCAATATCCTTCTCTACAATGTGCACGATTGTCTCCCTTCATAATGTGCATAAACTCTACTTCCGGCCTCTCTCTGATATGGCCACTGATACTCAGGTCATTTCGCACCCTATAATGTAGCCTATATTTTTATGCAGCTTTAAGTAAACAGCTTATTTTTCAGGTTTTAGATAAAAGTGACACTGAGGTCTCATTGAAACAAGAAAAAAAGGAAGTTTCTCTTACGAAAAAAGGTAAAAAACTTCAGTTTACCTATATTAGCTGTGATGTTTGAGTTGTTTTCAGTATGACTTATGTGGTACATCTGATGTGGGATATAGATCAGAAGTTTGGTAGCAGTTTGGATTTTTAAAAGTTAAAATGTGTTGTTCCAGAAGTGGGAGGAGGGCTGGGTGGAGAGTGAGCCGCCAATCCCGTGTGTTTTGGAGGAGCCAAGAGACACTCCCTTCCCAAGGAGAGTCCCCCTAGCTCTGCCACACACGGCCTGATGTCTCCAGCAGTAGACTTGGACCACTCTCTGTGTTGAATTCTGTTTCGAAATTTGCAGTAGATTGGTATGAGCTCTTTTATTCAGACTGCATTTTGAAAATTATGATGACAGTTCTCTATCTTCAATTATGTAGTCCTTTTCCTGCTTTTCATGATTCCCCATAGACCAGTTCACCAAACACATCCATTAGTTCCTTTATCCCCATGGGACATCTTTTGTCTCAAGTGAGAGACTTGAGCTTTTTTTAAACTTAGAGTTACCATCTTATAATATTCAATCCAAAAACGATTTCTTTGGATAGAGAAACTGTAAGCAAACCGGACTGAGAAAATTTTGTTTTCTTAGCATCCATTCATTATTATGACCAACGCCTTTATTATGTGTTATTATTATCATACGATTCTCTCTTTTAATATTCTACCATTGGGCCTGAGCAGCAAGCCCATCATTTTCATGGTCCTCTTCTTATTCTGAAATAAGTTCTAAAGATTTTCTTAGCCTCTTTGACAAGCCTCAGCTCCTTTTGGCCTCATCATTCCCAGTCCTTGTATCGGTCCATGGCATCACTCTGTGCCCACTTTTGGTCGTAAGCTCTCCCTTCACACTTTGTTATTCAGGTAACATAATCAGCCATTCACGCACATCTTTATATTTGAACCCATTAGTGAGGTCCCTAAGAAATCACAGTTTTTTATTTCTCATCTTAATTAGGATAATTTGCAATTCCACAATCAGGATTTCTTTTGTAAGGCTTTCTTAATCTTAAAGCCAGTCTTTTATAGAAGTTTTAAAGTATTAACATGATTTCAAGTACGTGCCTGTTGGATTTCCCAAATCATAATGGAAAAATTATTAATACAATTTTGATCCTAAAATTAATATTTAATTTCAAATATCCTGGGTTTGGAAAGAACAAATTGTGAAATGATTTTAAATGACTGTAATTATAGATTAGTTGGCCGTTGGGCTAAAAAAATTTCACTTTGTATGCAAGCCAGTGAGTAAAACCAGTGGCACCTGCAGTATTAGAAAACCTCTGTGTTTTCTCTTTTATATGTACTTAAAGGAGTCAGATCCTCAGCCATTCACCCACCATCTAAAACTTCCTTTGTCGCTATGCTATGCCACTTGGCCTTTGATGGCCCTCAACTTGTTGCCAAGGGTTTACTTGGTGGAATAAAATATGTGGACAGTTACCACAATGAATTCTAGAGACAGGTGGAAGAATGACACATTGACTTACTGTGTCTACTGCCTCTAAGACACTCTTAAAACCAATCCAAGGAGTCAGAGCATTTCTACTCTTCTGTGAACTATAACGAATCACTAACCTCTCTGAACATATAATAATGAGGTTCCCTCAGTGAGAAGGTTGACCAGATGACACCAGGTCTCTTCCTGCTTTAGAGTTCGACTCTTTACTAGAGACATGTTTGGGGTTGGGATCTGTTAGGATATTTTTGAACTGGAACCTAAAATGGAATAGAGTGGGATTCTAGGGGGAAGACAGGAGGTTGTCTGGGCAGAGTCTGGTGAGAGAGGGGAGTCCGACGGCCCCAAGCAGTCACCCCGTGCACACCAGTCAGAGGTAATAAGCATCATGAAAAAGAACTTACAAAAAAACAAGCTACAGAGGCTCTTGGATTATTAGATACACCATCTACACTTTATTAAAAGGTTATTATAAGTTGCATAAAGAACATATTGGTGCATTTTTTACAAAAGGATGTTTGGAATACAAAGCCAAATTCTCTATAAGTAGTTAATAAACCGCCGACACTTCTTTCAGTTCACGTTATTGTGTGATCATCAAAATGTGATTGTCTTCATTTTGTCCGTCTTTTGAAGAAAAACAGGAGCCGTGCGGTGATACTCCAGAAATAAAGAGAAACTCTTCATTATCTAACCGGGAAAGGTGAGTGTACTGCAATTACACAAATTCCAAGTGAGTGCAATTATACTGTTGCAAAGTAATTATCAATGTTTAAATACAAGAAGAAAGAAAATAATAGCAACAAGCAAAGGCAATTAAGAATGGAACCAAATTTGCAAAGGAGACAAGAAAGAATAGAATACGGCTAGGTTTCTTACCTTTTTCCCGAACCTTTTTATTTTCTTTTGTGAGGATTTGGGGATAATGAAATGGAACAGGCTTAACTTCCTACTCACAGCGAGCAACTAATTCAAATTACTGTAATGTAGTCAAAGAACTGAAAATGTCACATGTGTATAAGGTGTGAATATGCAATCAGGAAACTTGTTTTTTTATGTGGCTCATTATCTTATTGTTATACGTATATGTAATTATGATAATTATTGCATGCTAGAATTTTCTTGACATGAGACTTTTGTCACTTTTAAAACAAAATCAGCTGAATATTTTGGATGCCCAATAAAACAGAAAGAACGTTTTCAAGGAAGCAAACTCTTACCCTCACTTAGACAAACTTGTCAAAGGTGCTTTCCAGGCCTTTAGACCCGGTGTCTGTGAATCCAAATCTTGGGCTCTTTTTGCATAGGAGCGCATTGAATTGAGTGTCGGAAAAAAAGAGAGGAGTTTGATTTTCTGCACTTGCTGACAGAGGAGTCCCTCTGATACTCAAATCCCCTCACTTCACTGTTCTACTCAGAAACCCCTCATGGCCCCATCTTGCAGGATATCTTGCAGGATAAGTTACAAACTCCTTAGCATGGCGCAAGTCCCCTTCACTCCTGGCCTTTCCTGGAGCCCCCACTTTGCTTCCCAGAATTTCTGAGTTGCTTTGAGTCCTGTTTTATCACACTTGCCTCTCTGTCCACACTGCTTCCTTTGCCCTCTGCAAGCTGTACACCAGTCTACTACTCTTTCCTTCAAGTTCGAATTCAAGTGTTCTCTCCTCTGGGGCCCGCAACTCTCACAAGCAAACTTGGGGTTTCAGAGAGCCACTGATGCAGTGATAAGAGTGGTCATAACTCCTTCAACTTCAATAATTATCTGTTTGGGGCGCTTGGGTGGCTCAGTCATTTAAGCGTCTGCCTTCAGCTCAGGTCATGATCCCAGGGTCCTGGGATCGAACCCCACATCGGGCTCTCCACTCAGCAGGGAGTCTGCTTCTCCCTCTCTGGAGATCTGTGATCTCTCTCACTTTCACTCTCTCTCAAACAAATAAAATCTTTAAAAAAATAATTATCTGTTAAATATCAGCTGTATTCTGATACACCACTGTCAAGTGGAATTGTCCATCTGAACGTCTGTCTTCCTATAAGGATGGGGGCCGTATCTTTTCTTTGTCATAACTCCAGCTGCCTGAGAGGTCTTCCCATAGTACTCCATCCAAAATAGCCTGTCCCATTCCTGATAAGGGATACTATCAGATCTTAGCATCCTGCATGGTTTTTTTCAGAGTACTTATTACTATTTTAAAGTATTTTATTGACTCATCTGTTTCTTTTAATGTGTTACATTCTAGCTTGCTTATTTTCTATCTTTTTCATAGGAGCTAATTCCCTCCACAAGAGCAGGGCTGTCTTGCCCACCTCTGTGTCATTAGTGTCCAGAATAGCAGCTGATTCAGAGTTAGTATATTTATTGATTGACTAAATGAGGCAGTTCCCCCCCCCCCATGTTGTTGCTATGCCATTTTATGGACAGTGCTTTAACCTAGAGTTATTTATTAAAGTTTGAGTTAAAGTTTGAAATTCATCCGAAAACTAAAACACATTGTGTGTGTGTGTATGTGTATATGTGTTGTGTGTATTGTATGTTACTTTCAGGTTTATATGATGTTGTGTGTGTCTTTTTTTTTAAATCATCTTTGAATTGTATCTACAACATGAAATGTTAGAACTGTGGTCCAATTAAAACAGTCTTCGTGGAAGAATCTTATCAAACTCATTAATAGTGGTAGTGAGGATAAAGATGACCATAATAACAATAATAATTAGGTGCTATTTACTGAGCACTTAACTAAGTGTAGGGGTTGGGCTGAATTCTTTGCATGTCTTGTTTAATCCTCAGCACATCTCTGTGAGGTCGGCACTATTATTATTATTATTATTATTTTAGTACAATAGAAATTTATTTCTCTGAAGTAAAATAAGCCTGGAAAGAGCTGGTTTAGGGCTATCAAGTGAGGCACAATGTCAAGGAGCCAGGGTCGTTTCCATTGCTTTTCTTTCTTTCTTTCTCTCTCTTTCTTTCTCTCTCTTTCTTTCTTTTCTTTTTCTTTCTTTCTTTCTTTCTTTCTTTCTCTCTTTCTTTCTTTCTCTCTTTCTCTCTTTTCTTTCTCTCTTTCTTTCTTTCTCTTTCTTTCTTTTTCTT